TTGATGCCGCCAGCCCCCCTTATATTAAATCCCTCTTGATTTATTTCCTAATTCCCCCACCCTCTCTAGGAAATAATTCCAAATCCCCACTAGCTCCTCGTCCGAATTTTCCTATTCCTCTATTACTTGATTTATTTCTAAAGGAGAAGCTCTCCTTTTTGGAATTACATTAAAGCCTCCCTCATCCCCTCATACCACCGACCCCTCTCTCTATCTTCCCCTCTCTCTCTCTCCAATCCCCTCTCTGCACATTAACCCACCTTCCCATCTTGGAATTAAATTCAAACTTAATTCCTAAATCCCTCCCAATTAGAAATCTGAAATTTATTTCAGATTTTTAGCTTGTTCTTCCCTTCTTAACCTACTTCTCCTCTACCAACCCTCATCCCTTGGCCGGCCACACCTCTTTATCTCCACTTCAAGTTAAAGAGAAACTTCTTTCTCTTTAACAGAGTTCAAGGTTGCTAGTAATCTCCGGAAGCGACCGTCGCTTAGCATTCATGAATGGTCGATCCAGATCTTGACTACGGCCTCTCCTACGACGAGCAAGGGTTTGTTTGCATCTTATATTGGACCTTCTTCGACGTCAACCCGTGCATCGACCACACCGTAGAAGAGTACGTAGAGCGCATCTTGGATACCTTGGTCGAGGCTATTGAAGAGCAACTTGGAATGGTCGAGTGGAGGATTGCAACCGATCATTGACGAAGGTTTTCTGATCTCCCTCTTCTTGTATTTCTTAAAGCCTAATCACTTCCTTGTGATTTGATTTTAGTCATGAAGATCGTGTTTGACCAATTCTGCCAAGCTTAGTAAACGTAGGGAATTGAGTGCACTTCATTTGTTTTCTAATCTTATTGTTAGATTTGGAATTTTTTGTTGAAAGCTACTATATATGTATGATTATTGATTTCCTATGCTATTTTGACGGTTCAAAGTTTTTATCATGCAACTTAGCCTAAACGGAAGTGACCGCTCTTGCGTTTTATTTTGTCGTTTCATTTGCTAATAGTTCTAATCACCATTTTTTCTAATCAATAAATCGTGCAAGTTCTTTCAAAGTTATTGCATACATTGTAGTCCTACATCACTTTGATTCATAAGGTGATTGGTAATGGTTGGCCTAATACCGCGTGGAGTGATGTCTAAACTTGATGTCGGGGAGGCTGGTCTAGTGTCATTAGTTGTTTGATAAGTTTATTTGGTGTCATCATTGGAGATCATTAGAGCAAATATTTTACCTACAAAGGTGATTGCGATTAAAGATTTGTCACGATAGTAACATAAGCCATTCTCATGGTTTGCTATCATTTTAGTGGTGGATGATCGCGAATTAGAATGGTGGATTTGCTGTGGTTTGGGAGAATGGTTGAAATAGAGTTGAGGTTAATAGTTTTGGAGGGGGTGTTGGGCTTAAGATAGGTTTTCCATCATTTAGCTTATCTTCAATCAACTTGGCAGTTCAGTTGCTGGTCCAATGTGGTAAGTTGATGAATATATACTTCTTTGTGAAAGTTAGATGAGAGGTCATATTTGAAGCAAATTTGTAAAAAAAAGCTCATTAATGCCTGTGATGTGATTGGAAAGCAGCTCAAATTGGTGTTGACAATCAGCTAAAATAAATATTTGGTGAGTTTGGCTAATTCACACTGGTGGTTGTGGTATTTTGATGGTCCAAAATAGTTTTGGAGGGCCGTGAGGACCGCCTTTCATAAGTGTAATCGACTTATTTTTGGTAGTTGTAAGAAGCATCCCTTGGCAACTTCGTTTGGGTGGAATGAGGGTAACATTAGTTTTCCTTCCTCAACCACTTTCTTTGGAAGGTCTACTGTTGTTCTATAATTTGTATCCATGGTTCAGGGTTTCCTCTAGAATATCAAGACAATGCGATACACATCATCTTAAATGGGTTGCTGCCCATAATATCATTGATGGTCGTTTCAGTTTGTGGTGTTGGATTTGAGGTTTCACTGTGAGATGACATCAGCGGGCATTTCTCTTATTTCATTTCTATCGCTGTGAGCCTTAATTGGGCATCACTCATTATTTCAACAAAGTTCTATAATTCGTCTTTGATGGAGGGCTTGGTGGTGTTGAGCTTTTTCTTTGGAGTGTTTGTCTGCCATTATCGAATGGGATTGTTAGTGATCCAAGTGGGAAGAACGGTGTGTTAAGATGCAAGGGGAGGCTCAATAAGAGCACCAAATTGGTAGACCACAGAGTGATAATATTGTAATGCAAAATAAACGACAACTTTGGGCCTTGCTAAAGAGCTCTAAGAAGAGGTAAGGGAGAAGAAGGAAGCTTAGGAAGAAGAAGAATGGGGAAATGAGGATAAATTTTATGCATATCTATTTTCTCAACCATCATATCTTTTCATAACAATATTTCTTCTTGACCAATTAACAATGGACATTTGTTCTAGCAGTAAAATAGAATTCTAAAACCTAAAATAGACATTTGATATATATTTTTATTATTTCTTTAAAAGGAAAACCTGTCTATCCTATTACCATGTGGAAGCTAGCTTCCCATGTGGGTGGTCTTAGCAGTCTTGTCATCCTTGGTTTCTCATTGGATTGTTTCCATTGGTTCTTCTCTTCACCTAATTTTGTCCTAACATCAAACTTGATTAATTTTGGTTATAAACTAAAAGCCCAAGTTTAGGCTTCATTTGACCCATTTTCTTGTTCCATAAAAGTAAATAAATAAAATTATCTCTACTTGCACATAGAAGGAAGAATTAATTCTCGAGTATAGTCTGTAAGTGCATGCTTGTTTAGGGTAGGGATTTTGGTGGAGCATTCCTACATTAATGAAGATTGTGGTACGATATATTTTTGAATGAAATTTATTAACAAAGAAAGCCTTGGCCAATTTACCTAATTTAATTGCTAAACACCCCTTCCCCACTATCACTTTATTAGCACTTAGCAATATGAACTTAACATTCTGTAGAGGATAGTATAATGGACGAACCATATAGGAAGTATTTCATGTTTGGCATATGCAAATTAACCATAAAATAACATCAATGCTCCTCAACCCACTTTGGGTTGTGCTCTAGGTATAAGACCTCTTAGGGTGTAACCCAAAGGTTCACTAAAGAGCAATGCACATATAGCAAACACATCCTTATATTGAAACCTCATTTAGTTTTGCTTTGATGAAAATGGTTAGCATCTTTCTCACATTTGCTTTCTAATTAATCATGATTTTTTCCCAAATTATTATTTTTTCTAATGTTTTCTCATATCTTGCATTCTAATCTTTTCTCACTTCTTGCATTATATTCTTTTTTTTTTAACATCTAATAGCTAACTATATAACGAGAAAGTGTTGATGAGAATAGCGTATGTTTGGGCTCCAAAAATTTACGCCCTAATGAGAGAGTTTAGGTTCTAGGTTAAATTTCCTTAAGGTAGATCATATTACTGATAATATATTACCTAGAAATTTCTCCATCATTTTGTGAGGATTTTATGATTTGGTTTAGGTTCCCCGTATGTGCAAGTCCTTATGGTTAATAAATCCTCCTGGAGATGAGAGAAAACTTTTGATTATGGCTAGTTGATAGAAATTAAATGCTTAACATACAATAGTAATAGTTTTGGTTTTAGGATTGAGTAAAAATTTATTGCCTTTAGTTTAAAGTAAATTGTGGGGGAGTGGTGACAAACCTGATCAATATCTCATGGTTTCATTGTCCTGGGTTGTCATGGACCTTAGACTTCGTAGTCAGTGGAGGTAGTTAAACCCACCGGACGGAATGGTTATTGTCGAAAATCATGGATTATTTTGTAAAAAAAGATGGATATTTGTTAGAGGGGATAAATTTAAGTCAGTTTTAGCTAACATAAGGCTTTGTGCCCTATCACATTATTAAAAACTCAAGGGACTAGAGCCATTGAGAAAAATTCTTCCCATAGTCATGATTGTAATATAATGATGTTATTTTGCAATAAAACCACCTTTTCAAAGGGTCTAAAATCTAAATCATAATCATTTATTTGGTGGAAAAATCACCCTATTAGAGGATATGTGCCACGCCTTTATTGATGTTAAATCTTGTGAAAGTGATCATAGTTATACTTTCGATAGAACATTGGCTTTTTGTGAGTAGGGGTTACTTTTAAATTTGTCACTCTCTTCAAAATGTTACGGATGGTGGATAGATTAATGCTATTAATGCTTTAATCTTAAGACGATAGATTTCACTTGAATATTTCTATGTTTAGTAGTTATTATTATTTTTTCTTTTCATATTTTTAAAAGAATTTGGGCTCCACAATAATTTGCTTTAGGATATGAGGGCATTTTTATAATAATCTCTCCTTCCATTGAAATTCTAAGTCAACGTAGCCATCATCGAGGGATTAGGGGAATTTTATCTTCATCATTAGTGTTCAAATTAAATCTCCAAGTTATATTTAGGTTGTACATTAGCATCAATAATTTTATTCTTTCATTTTTGTGGTTGTACATAAAAGTTAGTTATATGATGTATGTATACAACATTTTTCTGAGACTAATATGTCTTATTTAGAGTATATTGACTAGCATTCATTTTAAATTATATAAATTTTGTTTGATAATTCATGATTGTTTTGGCGTGAATATTCATTATTGATATATTCTTATGAGATTTATGCTGGATGTACTTCCTTCCATTTCATTCAATTTCATGCATGTTGTATTGCTTTTTCTATTTTTTTTAATCATGTATCATATTTCTGTAATGCGTACTGCATAAGTCTATTGTCTATTGTCTAGTATGATTATTACTTTTGACCATGATTTAGAGATTTCCATCAAAATAGAGAAAACACCTCAATACATGAATTGAGAATCAAATTCATAAAGCTGGATGCATAGTTGGGATAATGCTAATGATGAAGATGATTTTGATTTAGAGATTCCACTATCATTATTATTATTTTTCTTTGAATGAAGTTATAGCTTGCTTTGGTTGTACTAAAAGTTATTTATTAAACTTGCAGCTGAAAAATCCTTCTCATCCCTATCGAGCTGTTCCAACTGCCGTGAATTGCCTTGCGACTTTGCTAAGGGAAACTTCAGTGAGAGCTTCTTTTGTACAAGCAGATAGTGTGAAGTTGTTAGTTCCCTTGATTACTCCAGCAACCACTCAACAATCAATTCAGGTAGTCTGCCTTATGGGTGTTTAATTTCCTTATGACATTAAATAATTAACCTATGGCGGAGGATTGTGAATTATATTTCAATTAATCCATCTTTGCATCATATATATATTTACATCCAATCTCAAGCTAGGAAGATTTAATTCCTAGCTCAATCCATGTTTGATTCGAGCTGGGCTACACGTGCAAATTAGCTGTTTGACTTCGATCCAAGGATCTTCTATCCAATTCATAGCTCTATCATGTTGGCTTCTTGTGAATCATGCTATATTTTGGTCCATTAATCTGAATCAATTTAGAAACTTGTGTTGCAAGTTTCTAAGGGGATTCCTTTTTTATCATGTTCTGAGTCAAGCAGTTGGTTTAAGCATAGTGTAAAACATCATTTAATTTGCATTCCATAAGTTTATTTTTTTTTATGGGATTGATATTAAAAAAATTTAACATTTGGGGCTCTATTTCTGCTTTCATTTAGCACTTACATGCAAATTGGTAACTAGCCAATTTTGGATGGTACTCTCTCGCGCAGATTCTTTATGAAACATGCCTATGTGTTTGGCTGTTGTCGTACTATGATGCTGCAGTTGATTACCTGGCTACTACTAGGATTCTTCCAAGACTGGTTGAAGTTGTCAAAGGTTCTACTAAGGAGAAGGTATAGCTTTGATACCATTTATTTGATTGCTGACCGTTCAAATGCCTCTATAATCTGATATTAGGTTATTGTTGTTTTCTTATGTTGCAGGTTGTAAGGGTTGTCATCTTGACTTTCAGAAACTTGCTTTCGAAGGGGGCATTTGGGGCTCAAATGGTGGATCTTGGATTACTACAACTTGTCCTCAGCCTAAAAGGTCAATCCTGGAGTGATGAGGTAAGGTCACAAGCGGATCAGTTAAAAATTTGAACTGCTAGTAACTTTAAGTAGAAGGGTATTAGTACTGTTAATTTTTAAAGTGCATTTTGTTTAATGTTTTTGGCTGGCCCTTTTGCAACCATCTTACGGATGTTGCCTCACAGGGCTAGTTCCTATGGAGATCAATAGAAATGATATTCATAGAGCATTTCTCTCATAATTATTCTTCGTATTTGTGTTTATTCAACCTTTTCCTTGCAAGTGTAGTTTCAAAGTGACCCTTTATGAGATACTGATAAAAAATATATTGAACTTGATATGTTCATAACTTACTTTGTAATTAGTGTTGCATTTAAGTATTATTACTTTTATCATTGTACTATTAGTTTGGATGTACAGCCAGCACTATTCTTATGGAGGTTCATAGAAATGATATTTATAGAGCATTTCTCGTATAATTATTGTTCATATTTATGTTTATTCAATCTTTTTCTTTCAAGTGTAGTTCCTATGGAGGTTAATAGAAATGATATTCATAAAGCATTTCTCTTATAATTATTGTTCATATTTGTGTTTATTCATTATTTTCCTTGCAAGTGTTTCTCTTATTTTCAGGGTGACACTTTATATGAGATACTGGTAAAACAAATAAAATGGAACTTGATATGTTCATAACTGACTTTGTAATTAGTGTTTTGTTTAAGTATTATTGACTTTTATCATTGTACTATTAGTTTGTATGTACAGTCAAAACTATTCTTATGGAGGGACTTGTTAGGATTCATTTTAAAAGTCATCTGTGGTTTTTATCAAAATTATTTTGATTAAATTTATTTATTTACTTTTTTTTAATTTGACTGTTTAGCTTTGTTATTTGGTTGATAATTAATCTATGGTTTAGTTCGAAAACATATTATATCTGATAAAAGAATTTTAAATTTCAGTAAAGACTCGGTGAGGATTGTGTTTCACATTATCATTTGGGCGTTACAATTTGAAACTGTTAATAGTTTTTGTCTAGGGAGAGGTCATTTTTAGGAAATCACATGTACTATAGTCATAATTCCTGATACTTTTTAACCATCATGTAGAACATTTAGTATTTTTGAAACTGACGTGCTATGACTTAACATGATAATTGACACGGTTTTCCTGAATTAATCTAGTATTTGCCAATTTTACCTCACGAAAGATATTATTTTATTGTCAAATTGGTTTGTAGGACTTACTGGAAGCATTGAATCAGCTTGAAGAAGGGCTTAAAGATAACATCAAAAGATTGAGTTCCTTTGATAAATACAAGCAAGAAGTTCTTCTTGGTCAGCTAGACTGGTCTCCTATGCACAAGAGTCCTGGATTCTGGAAGGATAATATTACAAATTTTGAAGAAAATGATTTCCAGGTGTTGTGCCATTTATTTTATGCTTCTCATGGTAATAAGCATTGATTATGAAAAAAAAAGGCCTATTTTCCACATGATCAAATCTCAGAATTTCAGCACATAGAATTTTGGCATTTGTTGTATTTCTATAAATTGGTAAATAGAAAAATCAAGGACCAAAAACTAACTCAGTCACAATTTGTTTTTTCGTAGTAGGGGTAATTTTTATGGATAATTAATGAAGAGTTATATTATTAGATTGCCTAATTGATTCTTCAGTTATAATCAACATTATTGTTTCAGTTCTGCATTCAAGAATATACTCATTTTCTATTAAAAGTTTAGGTTTAGATATATACTCAATTTTAGTTTGCGACTCAAATTTAAATATTTGTCCAAACACATTTTAACATGATTGCATATTTAGATTCAAGAAGATTAGATGTTGACTCATATTGTAAATGTAAATCATCTTTTGCATTTAATATGTTCTCAATAGATTATTCATAAACTATAGGGGAAGGTGATGTTTGTTTGACAAGGTTTAGCTGAGATGCTAATGCTTTTTCTTTAGAAATATTAAGAACTGTTGCAAAAAGATGATTGTAATTTTCCTTGATATCTAATGTTATGTATAAGACCTAATCTAAAATCTAAGGAGATTGTACTTAATTTATCAGTAATTTCTCTAAAAGGCAATGAAATAAATATCGATAACATAATAGCCTAGATGCAAATAATCTTTTGATGCATGACCTTCAATTCTTGCATGGTATTTAAATACACCTATTTCTTGGTTTATAATTCTTAAATTAATTATGCAGTTAGTGTCTATATTTATGATGGAAAATATTATTTTTTATTATTTTAATTAATTTTATTTAAAAAAAAAAAACAAAATTTCTTTTCAGAAAACTTAAAAAAAAAAATCAGAATAGTGTTAGATTGCTGTATACAGCAAATGCTCATCAGTGGATAGGGATAACTTATCCATTGTTACTTGGTCGAATAATGATGTAGTAATTAGCCATGCATAAGGCTTATTAATCCTTTAATTCTATTGTTTTTGGACCCATAAAAGAAACAAAATGTGCTTGTGCTGATGAACCCCCTGTTGCATTCTCCGTCACACCCATTGTTGTCCAAAATTGCAGATTTTGTCTTCGTTAGATCCCACCTGCTGTCAAATTCATGCAACTCCCTAAAAGAACAACACTCGTGCAGTTTTTTGCATTTATTCCATTACTAATTATTTAAAAGCTGAGATTATTTGCTATTTGCAGAATGATTTTGTTGGTTCATCAAAACTTCTTTATTCTATTGAAGTTAGATGAACTATAAATTTGAAAATTTTCTGTTGCAGATCCTACGTGTTCTTCTCACAATCCTTGATACATCCAATGATCCCACAGCACTGGCTGTTGCCTGCTATGATCTGTCCCAGTTCATTCAATTCCACCCTGCTGGTCGCATCATTGTCTCAGATCTGAAGGCGAAGGAACGTGTTATGAAGCTAATGAACCACGAAAATGCTGAAGTAACAAAGAACGCGCTTCTGTGTATCCAGAGACTGTTCCTTGGATCTAAATATGCTAGTTTTTTGCAATCTTAGGCTTAGTTTGGGATGACTTTCTTATTGCTTCTTAATGCAGCTTTCTATTATATAAATTTTTATTTTTATACTAAAAAGCTGTTTTAAGAATCAACAAAAAAGCCGTCCCAAATGAAGCCTTAGTCTGTATGTTAATTCGCATAAGAAAAGCTACCTGAACTTGGTGACTAAGGAGAGATGATTCTTGGTTACATTTTCATGAGGGAGCCTGTTCTAGAGAGTGATGATGAATATTTGAGGAACTAGGAAGAGAATGCAATGCACATGGTACTTTCTTATGGCAAACTCCAGGTTCTTTTTATCTGAAGGACTATTATTTGTTGAATTATGTAATAAGTCCTATATGTTTATTTTTACCGTAGAATTCAAGTCTTCTTGCCCGCCCTGAATTGTTGCTGCATAGCATACATGGAGCTATATTTCATGATGTAATGTTGATCATCGAGTTTATTAGCTAAATAAAAGAGTTGGCATGTTTTTTGTCCTAAAAGCTGCTTGTACTTCAATTTTTCTTATAAAGGCAGAGTTCCTTTTGTATTTAGATTGTTTTCCTTACAGTTCTCCTGTTTTTGTTCCTATAAAATCAGAAGAAAATATTGTTTTATTAGTTTCACATAAGAAAATCTTCATTAGAGGCGTATAACTTAATTAAATAGTACTGAGTGTTGTATAATGTTCATATTACTGACTTTGTTATAGATTTTGCAGTGTACAAGACGAGTACAAGACTGATTTGTAAGGACTAAAGTTCATACTCGATGCCATTGATTCAAAATGCAGATGAGAAAAAGGTTACTCCTGCTTATAAATTGGTCGATGGTAAATTATAAATTTCATGCTAAAAATAATAATATAGCTTAATTTGATGTTTGTCAATGTTAGGGCTATTCTCTAAAAGTGATTTTTTATGAATTATTGTAGGGCTGTTCCCTTGTAATACCTTCTATCATTTTGAAAATTTTTATGGGTGGTTAAATGATGTGAAAGGTTAGCTTAGGATGTGTAGATCTGTTCTTGAGTGAGTTTTAAGGGGTATGAGGAAGGAGATTTGGGGTGGCTTTTTTATTGCTTATTAGGCTTCGTTTGGGACGGCTTTCTTGCTGCTTCTTAAAGCAGCTTTTTAGTTCAATTATTTTAATTATTGAACTAGAAAGCTGCTTTAAGAAGCAGCAAGAAAGCCGTCCCAAACGAAGGGTTAATGTAGTTTTTCAATACACTAATTTTTTTTTAATAGAAAGTTGTTTTAAGAAGTAGAAAAAAAGTTGTGCCAATGTTTCATTTGGGATAGTTTTCTTACTATTCTTTAAAGTATTTTTTAAGTGCAAAAAATTAATAAAGTTAGAAAATTTATATTAAAAAGTTGTTTTAAGAAATAATAAAAAAGTTATTTCAAACGAAGGTTAATATTAGTTTGATAAAATTTAGCATTGGTTGAGTAGTTCAAAGTGGTTGTGGGTGAGAGAAGATGGACTTTGGAGTGATTATGATGTAGAATAATTTGAAGGAGGGGTTCACAGAAAGAGACCGAGTGAGAATGAGAATTATTAAAGATAACTAGCTCTTTATCAAAGACACTACAATGACTCTTGAGCCATCATAATGTTGGGTAAGGTTTTATTTTGGTACCCATCGCTGTTTGTTCGGGTGGTGAAGAGCTGGCTAAGAAAAGCCTAGGTCCTTGGTTCGAATCTCTTGGCAAGTAGTGAAAGCCATAAGTGTTGGCTCGTGTAAATTGGTGTGGATTGCATGTTAGGTCGACCGGGATTTTCACTGGCTTAAGGACAGTGCTTCCTCGTCACAAAAAAAAAAAAACTTTATTTTGGTTGAGATGCAAACACTCTCTCTCTAAAGATAGACAAGTATATAAACAGTGGGCAGGCATTAGATTTCAATGAGCTTATATAAGTATAAATATTTAATAATGAAAGTGTTATAATATAAATAGCATTAAATTTCTCTTCCTTTTTTGTAGGATGAGTAGATGATTTCTGCAAATCAAAGAATTTTTAGGTGGATCATGCCAATAGTAGATTTTGGATTGTGGAGCTACGTAGGTTGGAATGAAACAAAAATGATAGTTAATAAATTAGGCTCTCAGGAGATAGCTCATGAAGCCTAGTCTTCTTATACAATTTATCCTGATTATGTGGAGATGAGTTGTAAGAATTGTGAACATCTTTAATCAGGCGTGAATACTAAAATATAGTGAAGGAATATTAAAATACAATTAATGATTAATGCAGTGGTGCAACAGCAATGGTGTAAAAATAAATAATGATTTCATAATTAACTAACTTTTATATTTGTATTTAAATGCATATTATATTTTGTGTTTAATTTATTATGATATTTTTTATGTTATGTGACTATTGAATCATTAATATAAAACATATGAATGTAATTTATAAATTAAATGGTTATATGGCTGATCGAACTTGAAGGATAGGTGTTGCTAGGTGAAACATCATCGAAAATTGACATGATTGGCCATGAATCCCGATGCATATTTGAATTGGAAACTCTCAAAATTAAATTCAAGACAATATGAACTTTGATTTTAGCACTTATTGTCAAATTGGACCTTTCGATTATTCAAACCTAATGATACCAAAAGTTGACCAATTCGAGTCCAAATGAGCCCCAATAGAGCATTTGAAACATAATTGAAAACTTCAGACCATCGAATGAATGATCAAAAGATCTTCACATTTGAGATTCTTATTGTTGAATTGAGCATCTCAACTAGATGAATCCAACAAGGCTACGATCACTTAATTCCAATAAAATTAAGGCACATAAATGCTAAATGCAATCCGTATGATCAAAAGAATCAATATATACAGTTTGAGGAGTATTATGTATTTCCTCTAAATTTTTGGGGCATGCCACTCTCAAAAATCTATATTTATGCTCCTACTCTCTACATGAAAGCAGAGCTTTGACACGGAGCTTGAACCTTGCTTGATTAAAGAGAGCTAAGATGCTCTGTAAGGATTTTGAAGCTCGGGCCACCGTGCAACTATCATCGTTGGACTACCACCTAACCACAATCCTTCAGACCTCATTGCTTGACTACAATCCTTTTTATTACCATCATCTAACTATAGTCCTCCAACCACCATCACCCGATTATAGTCCTCCAATCTCTATCGCTTGACAATGATCCTCTAACCATCATTACTCAACTATAGTCCTACGAACACCATTTACTGACTACAATCCTTTGACCTCTTTCACCTAACTACAATCCTATAACCTCTATCACCTAACTACGGTCTTCCAGCAAACATTTCATAACTATGGTCTTTGAAACCATAATTGCTTGACTATAGTCTTGAAACCTCAGTTACCTAACTACAATCCTCCAGACTATCATTACCTGACTACAATGCTTTAGACCCCCATCGCTTGTTTACAATCCTTTAAACCACCATTGGAAGATTATGGTCCTTCGACCATTATGATTCGACTAAGATCCTTTTGATAACCATCACTTGATTATGATCCTCCAACCACCATTTCCTGAATACAGTCCTCCTACCTTTGTTGCTTGATTACAATCTTCTAGGTCATGGTTGAACCATGATGTCCCTTATGATAACTTTCATCTAACTATAATCTTTTCAACCACCATTTCCTAACTATAATCTGTTGATCTCCATAACTCAACTCTGATCCTTAAAATCACCATTATTAGATTACAATCGTCAAAATACCATAACCCAACTATAGTCCTTCTAACCACCATCACTTGATTATAATCTTTCTGACCACCATTGCTCGACAATGATCCTTTCGAACACCCTCACTTAATTATGATCTTCTAACTGCCATCGTCTGACTATGGTCCACTATCCTCAATTTCCCAATTATGGTCCTTTGACCAATATTATCAAATTAAGGTCCTATGACTATCTTTTCCTGACTATAATCTTGCCACCATTGTCACTTGATTTTGGTCCTATGTCTGTGTTTATCTGATTATAATCATCTAACCACACTATTCGACTATATATCTTTGACACAATTCGATTGGATATTTTCCTCCTACCTCCATTGCTTGATTAAGGCCTCCAGCCAATATTACTTGACTACGATCCTCTCACCTATAGTCCATCTACCATTATTTTCTGCCTACACCAACGCCTAATGACTTTATTACTTGCACCAATGCATGCCATCACTTATATGATCGATACATGCTTTCAACATCGACTCTAACTCTCAATGTTAGAATTAGGACTTATGCTTAATTTCTTAGTCTCGGACATTCCCTCCTTAAATTTTAATAAATCATCTATTAAATATAACTCTTATGCCATAGGGTTTTTTCAACTTACACCGTGATTTTTTCTACATAACTTTTGCCTATTATATTGTACAACACATTTCTTTATTAAGGGAAAGGGAATTGTTTGTAATTGATAATAAATACGAGTAGAATCGTTTAAGCTAGACTAGGCCCTATGAGTTTTTCCTTTCAAAGCTTTCAAAGTAAAATCACGAGTGTCCTTTCCTCTCTTATCTATGTGTGTGTTGGGTCTTTGTATAAAGCTAAATCATTAAATTGAGCCAAGAAATAATGAGAACTGAGGCAAACAAGAGCAAAAAATAACGCTTGGTAGAGAAAAAACCAGTTTGAAAATATGCCGCGGCAGAGCCTACCTGTCCAAAAATGCAAAGAAGCTGAAAACTCAATTTCAAATCATATACATAAGAAGATCACAATCATACAAATATGTGACTAAAAGCACATATCAATAACCATTAACTGAAAAAAACATGCTTACATGATCTAACTCGTCCAAAAAAAACTCGTTTTTTTTATAATCAATTTAGCCCACAAGACGGCTTCAAATGAACCCAAAAAAGGGGGTTAGAAATTAAGTGAAGACAGATTGATAACTCAAGGTAAGGGGCACCAGTGCCACGGAATATATAGGCAATTTTGCGGCCCTCCATATCAGAGTCATTCTCGATATCTCAGCCTCTTCGCCTTCTTCCTTTTCACCGGTTCGTAAGGCAGATGGTCTGTGGGTGTGATGAACATTTCAGTGCTGGAAGGCGCCCATGAATCTTCACCTTTGTTTTCCATTTCTTACAACTTATGACTGGCTGTGAGACTCTATAATAGAGAGGCGGTCGAGGACAGAGGTAGGAAACAAGTGGGAGGAGAGAAGGACGGTGGTGTTCCAGCTCCCACTGATGCCATAATGACAGAGAGTGTGTGTTTGCTTTTCCGTTGTTGCGGGAGTTGAGAAGGTGCTACATGATGCCGGCGAAGCTCACAGAGCGCAATGGCTTTTAGGTTTTTCGACAGTTGTTTCCACATGGTTGGTCTCCTGCTACTACAATTATTCTGCGATAGTCCGATGGATAAGAATTCTCTATCTACTATAAATGTTTTTGCACACAAAGCTTGATGTTGTCTATAAGAAATGATTATGGCTAGGGGCAGGCCTTGGTACGACCTCAAAAAGTCATTGACCT